CCTAGTGGGGGGCCTTCGACTGCACCGGCTTGGCCGGCGGTGGAGGGCTCGGGAGGATGCAGGAGCATCCCCAGCAAAGAGCTGCAAAGCCCCGCACGGGCTCCGGCACCCGCCGATGCCCAACAGAGAGCTGGGAGAGCCCCAAGCACCCACCACGGCACCAGCACGGGTGAAAAGCTGCTGTTTCGGTGGTCAGGTGCTCACAGCCAGCTGTGCAAAGCCCTCGGCAAACATCTGGGGAAGGAGGCAAGCTCGCAAGGACGGCAAGACGAGAGCGAGCATGGTGCGCGCCCGCTCGCTGGGAGCTAAGCATCCTGCTAATTTCCCTTTGCCAATTCATCAGCTGGCAACGTGCTCGGAATGAGAGCCCCTAATTAATTGCTCATCCGCATCCCCCATCCGGGCGGCCTCCCCGCCCCCACCGCCGCCGTGCGGCCTCTCGTACACGTTTGCTGGCATTTTCAAATCGGAGGCATCCTAATTACCGGAGAGTTATAACACCTTCCATTTCTCGCCCAGCGGACTGACACCCTGTCAAGAGCAAAGAGAATTGCCAGAGGTTTTGACAACACTAATTGCCCCTATAATCTAAAAACACAAAGGAGAGGCGATCAGTCGAGAGGGCCCCAGCTCTCGATCCGACACGAGGTTTTCACAATGTTACAAGAAAACAAAAGTGACGCTTTTTAGAGTTTGATGGCTGCTAACAAAAGCAGAATTATATTTTCATACAACCTTTGTCTGCATTAAATGGCTTTTTCTTCCGCGTTGGGATGCAGAGCTGACACGGGGAAATGGCGGCAGCTTCGCAAGGGGGTGAGGTGCGATCGGGGCGAACCCGCACCGGCTCTTGCGAGGGGCGTCCGGGCTTCGCCGCCTTCCTGAGCCCCACAAAGAATTTCCCCCCCGCAGCGTGGAAAACATCTCCCTCCTGGCTAAGGTTTCCAGGGAGGGCAGGAACTTTCTTTGGGAAATTCCCACATAGAGCTGCTGCCGCTGCGGCCTGACAGCTGCTGCCCCAGCCAAACGAGATGGGGACAGAAATGTCTGCCCCCAGCATGGCCGAGAGCCCCACGGGGGCACCCGCCGGCAGCTGATCTGCTAACGGGGAGGGGGACGGCACGGCACAGCCCCCGGGGACGCTGAGGAGCGCGGTGCGGCCACGGCACTCGGTGAGCGCCGCTGTGCAAGCTTGCCCATGGCAGAGGACGAGGCCAGCCTGGCATCCCCAGGTAACAGGGGGGCTTTTGGGCAATGGTCCCCTCAAAAGCTCGGATCCGGGCGGACAACACCACAAGCGAGAGCCAAAGGGCTCCGAGCGGAGCGGCACAGAGGGGTTTAGTGGCACGAAGGTGTTAGCTGCACCCAGCTGCCTCCTCTCCATCAGGACAGACAGACACAGGGATGGGGGGGACGTGGGGATGGAGGCCCACCAGGCTGTACGGACATGGGGGGGATGTGGGGACGGGGAGGGGATGGGGGGATGGAGGCCCACCAGGACGTACGGACACAGGGGGGGCATGGGGGATGTGGGGATGGACCCACCAAGG